GCGTTTCTGTACTGTTCTAGGCCTTGTGCCTACTGTGCCTCACTTGCTTACTTCTTGACTCTGCTTGTACTGTGATCTCTATACATATACCTGCATGCTTACACTTGCTAGGTTGTGATCACTGTACCTCTTGTTATATTATCAAACTGCATGTGAACTGGTCTTGTGACCGCTTGCTTGTGCTCGGAATTGGTGTGGTATCCTTGAGATCCACCCTGAGCTTGCTTTGCTTTTCTTGACTGGTCTTGTGACCTCTTGTTCTCCCCCAATTTGCCTATGGGGGTGTGTCAAACTTATGTTATAGCCTGTTTAGGCTGTAGTGGGTTAGACAATAGGGGGTACTACATTTCTAGGTTTCCCTATTTGTACACAACTCATTTCTAGTCATTCCATTCCTCGTATTATTCTCTTATTCTCACACGCTCTACCAGACTTCCCCGACACTGTTTTTCTGACATAAATCGTCAGAAACTCTGGGGGTTTTCCGTATGAAATTTTGAGGGCAGAAGCTATAATTTTCTCAAACTACCGCACTTGCACGATTTAGCAACTCTATTTTCATGGCATCAATTGACTGCCATTGACAAACTACTCAGCTCCAATTTCTTTCATTTCCTAGATCCATTTCATTACCCATTATATTGCAATTTGGCATGACCTAAACATCAAAATTAAATAAATAGAAAGGAACGACTACATAGTACTGTCAAATAGTATAGTCTGTGTAGGCTGTAGTGGGGTAGTTCATATGGGGTACAACACTTTAGGGTTTCCTACTTGTACTCCTCATGCTGCTCAATGCAATCATTCCTCGTTCTATCTTTCACATGGTATCAGAGCAGGTTCCCTAGTGGGAACGTTTTTTAGCACTGGAGGTACTGGAGGTGCTGGAGTTACTAGTCCTGGAGGTCCCACTGGTGCCTCGCCCCAGCGGTATAGCCGGCGGGAGCCTCTCTCACCACAGTAGTTGCGCGAGTGGTACGCTCGGCGCTGTAGCCTTCGGAGTGGCGCTGCTGGAGCTGGAGGCCCTGGAGCTGCTAGTCCTGGAGGTGCTGGAGGTACTGCTGGTACTGGAGGTACTGGAGGTGCTGGAGTTACTAGTCCTGGAGGTCCCACTGGTGCCTCGCCCCAGCAGTCTAGCCGGCGGGAGCCTCTCTCTCCACAGCAGTTGCGCCAGTGGTACGCTCGGCACTCTAGCCTCCAGAGTGGTGCTGCTGGAGCTGGAGGCCCTGGAGCTGCTAGTGCTGGAGGTGCTGGTGGTGCTGGCACTGCTGGTCCCGGGGGTGCTCGTGCTGGTGGCGCTGGAGCTGCCGGAGCTGCTGCTGCTGCTCGAGGTGCTGGAGCTGCTAGTCCCGGAGGTGCTCGTACTGGTGGTACTGGAGCTGCTGGAGCTGGTGGTGGTGGTGCTGCTGCTGGAGGTGCTGGAGCCGCTGGTCCCGGAGGTGCTCGTACTAGAGGTACTGGAGCTGCTGGAGCTGGAGGTGCTGCTTGAGCTGGAGCTGCTGGAGGTCCTGCTGGTGCTGGAGCTGCCGGAGGTGCTCGTACTAGAGGTCCTGGAGCTACTGGAGCTGGAGGTGCTGCTGGAGCTGGAGCCGCTGGAGGTCCTGCTGGTGCTGGAGCTGCCGGAGGTACTCGTACTGGAGGTACTGGAGCTGCTGAGGCTGGTGGTGCTGCAGGAGTTGGAGCAGGTAGCGCTGGAGCTGTTGCTGCTGGAGGTGCTGCTGAAGCTAGAGACCCTGGAGCTGGGGGTGCTGGTGCTGTCTCTGCTGGTTCTGGAGGCGCTGCGCGGCCGCGGCCGTACTTCGTTCCACTCCTTCAGCAGGTTCTTGGCCTCCCGCCGTATACTGGTCCCACTCTTCCCTTACTGTGTCCACAGCCTGCCCCGTCGTAGTCGCAGCTACAGCCAGCCTCTCCCCTGTCTGGTCCCTCTCCTTACTCTGGGCCGACTAGAGGTCTTACGGAGCATCGTGAGCCTGAGTCTCGTCCTGCGTCGCCTGAGTCTCGTCCTGCGTCGCCTGAGCCTCGTCCTGCGTCGCCTGTTCGAGCTGTTCCCACTGGTCGTCGTGTTCCGCGTCCGCGTCCTCCTCCTGTCCCAGGCACGCACCTGATGGCACTTCGTCTGTCCACTGCTCCACAACGTGTCCCTCTGCCGTCTCCTCCTGCGTCCTCTCTTCCTGACCTTGATGACCCGCCGTCAGACCTTGCTCGTGCTTCCAGTCCTACTGTCACGCGTCTTCTCGCTACTGTTGTTACTGACCCTTCGTTTGAGTCCACTGCTGCGTCTGCCCTAGTTGCTGAGCTTGTTGGCTTTGCTGCCGCCTGTCGTCTAGACTACGCCGCTAGTCTTGTTGCTGAGTCTGAGTCTGTCTGTCCTCCGTCCGTCGGGGGTGAGTGTGCTCTTGGAACGGACGTCCTTGAGGACAGACAGGAGGAGTTTGAGTGCTTTGCCGCTGCTTTACCTCATCTCGTATCCATGCTGCTTGCCCCTGAGGGAGACCCGGATGCACCAGACATCCTAACCCCGCGCTCTTACGCAGAGGCGATAGAGGGTCCCTACTCCTCTCAGTGGCAGACAGCCATGGACGCAGAGATGGCTTCCTGGAAGTCCACATGCACCTACGTCGACGAGGTTCCCCCACCTGGGGCGAACATCGTCAGTGGCATGTGGATCTTCAGGGTGAAGCGGCCGCCGGGTTCTCCGCCTGTCTTCAAGGCGCGTTACGTTGCACGAGGCTTCAGTCAGAGAGAGGGAGTTGACTTCTTCCAGACCTTCTCCCCTACACCGTAGATGACCACTCTTCGGGTGCTGCTGCACGTCGCTGCTCAGCGTGACTACGAGCTTCACTCTCTTGACTTCAGCACAGCCTTCCTACACGCCAGCCTGCACGAGGAGATCTGGCTGCGCCGCCCACCTGGCTTCACTGGGTCGTTTCATGCTGGTACCCAGTGGAGCCTCAGACGGCCAGTCTACGGTCTCCGCCAGGCGCCTCGTGAGTGGCACGACACACTGAGGACGACTCTTGGGGCTCTTGGGTTTGCTCCTTCTACTGCTGACCCGTCGCTGTTTCTACGCACCGACACCTCTCTGCCGCCGTTCTACGTCCTCGTGTACGTTGACGACTTGGTCTTTGCTACTGCTGACACTGAGGGACTCGCCCACATGAAGTTGGAGCTGCAGAAGAGACACACGTGCACAGACCTGGGTGAGCTGTGCAGCTATCTTGGCTTGCAGATCACCCGGGACAGAGCACAGCGCACCATTACCTTGACTCAGTCACACATGGTGCAGCAGGTCCTTCAGCGCTTCCGCTTCACGTACTCCTCGCCACAGTCCACTCCTCTGCCTACTCGCCACTCGCTCTCAGCTCTGCCTTCGGATGAGTCCGTAGAGCCGGGTGGCCCGTATCCAGAGCTTGTGGGCTGCCTCATGTACCTGATGACCTGCACTCGACCTGACCTGGCATACCCTCTTAGCATCCTGGCACGCTATGTTGCTCCTGGGAGACACCGGAAGGAGCACATGGATGCCGCTAAGAGGGTGTTGCGCTACTTGTGCAGTACGTTGGGCATGGTGCTTGTGCTTGGAGGACGGGCTCGAGTTGTCCTCACTGGTCACGCAGACGCTTCCTGGGCTGACGACTTGGCTACGCAGCGGTCGTCACAGGGTTACACTTTCAGCCTTGGCTCCGGTTCTGTTTCTTGGCGGTCTACCCGCTCGTCTTCTGTTCTCAGCTCCAGTTGTGAGGCTGAGATCTACGCAGGGGCCATGGCTGCACAGGAGTTACGCTGGCTCACCTACCTGCTGACCGACCTGGGAGAGCCGCCTCGTTCTCCTCCAGTTCTGTACGTCGACAACAAGGCCATGATTGCCTTGTGTCAGGAGCACAGACTGGAGCACAGAACGAAGCACATTGCTCTGCACTACTTCCTTGCTCGAGAGTTGCAGCAGCGTGGCCAGCTTCGTCTTGCTTACGTGGCCACTCAGGCCAGCACTGCTGATATCTTCACCAAGGCACTTCTGCCTTGTGATCATCAGCGTTTCTGTACTGTCCTAGGCCTAGTGCCCACTTGGCCTCACTTGCTTACTTCTTGACTTTGCCTGTACTGTAATCTCTATACATATACCTGCATGCTTACACTTGCTAGGTTGTATTGCTTGTTCTACTTTATATAACTCTGCATGTGAACTGGCCTTGTGGCCATTTGCTTGTGCTCAGAATGCGTGGTGATGTCGTGATCCACCCTGAGTTTGCTTTGCTCTTCTTGACTGGTCTTGTGACCTCTTGTTCTCCCCCACTTTGCCTATGGGGGTGTGTCAAACTTTTATGCTATAGTCTGTGTAGGCTGTAGTGGGGTAGTTCATATGGGGTACAACACTTTAGGGTTTCCTACTTGTACTCCTCATGCTGCTCAATGCAATCATTCCTCGTTCTATCTTTCACAAGTACCATACATGGAGGCCACATAGCTATGCGTGCGGGGCATGTGATATGCAGCAGCCCCATAACTCATCATTAACGCACTGCGAGCGACCTGCGCTGCGACATTGAAGCATTCTCAATGGGACAAAAATGGGACATTTTACTCAGACAAGCTCAAGGCCGCCATGGCGGTTTCCAGGGAGTTTAACCGAGCCAATGTCCTACAATTTCTTATCAGTTGGTGATTTAAAGCCTAGATTCGACTTCCTTATGACTTTAGGATTCCGTGCGTACACTTTTAATGTTCATACAGAGGACATTGTACAAGCGATCTTATTGTCAGGCACTCTCAAGGCTTATCCTGACAATGAGGACTCTAGGGCTCGTGGTGCTCCCAAGGCCAAGCGGGTTTGTATTCCCAAGAACTATCGTCCTACTGATCGGTTCAAGGCTATCATCAGCTACAAATACAAGCGGAAAAAGAAGGGAAGACACAAGTCATTGCAGGAGCTTCTGAGGCTCAGTTCTTTCTCAAGATCTGCATCTGCAGTTTTTTCACCGTTTATTCATCATCACCCCATGGCTCCCGCTGGTGACATGTTGACTCCGCCAGCTCCAGGCGCTGCTGGCGTGCAAGGGAAGAAGCCTTCGGATGCGCGACCGGATCTGGTGACTCCTAAGACGCTTTTCAATGGCGTGGCCGGCTCCTTTGGCGCAGAAGTGGTTAACAAGCTGGCGGAATGTACATCGGCTCTCAAGCTCCATGATCTGCCGGCGGGAGGGAAGGAAAACAACATGGTTAAGCCGTCTGCTGCTGGGAGCTCATCGTCGGCTCCCGACGTGCTTGACAAAGGCAAAGCAAAGGTGGAGGACAAGGACAATGAGGATGGCTACCTCAGCGATGACCCAGAGGAGTGCCAAGACCCGGAGGTGCTCAACGAAATTGCTGCGCAGGCGGGTTTCGCTATCACCCTGCTGGTGCCGTTTGCCTGGAACAAGGAGGTTCCTCGCACCATCAACACGGTCCGTCATCTTCTGCTGGTGTGGGGGAAGCATCTGTCGGAGAATTTCAGGAACACGTCCGGTTTCCAACAGCTATCGGCTACCTACCTGTCCGAGCAGCACTTCGGCCGGATGCAAGTGGTCTTCCAGCAGGAGGCTGATGCGTGTTTCGTCTGGAGCCGGGAAGTGGAACACTACACGATGAATGACAAGAAGCTTACGCTCGGCTGGCAGCACCCGGAAAACACCAGTTATCTGAAGGAGCGCGCGCTGCATCCCGAGGCGATTGAGGTGCTGCTCAAGGGGGTCTCGGCGGTGATCTCCCCGGAAATGATCCGGAAGAACCTGGTGACGGCGATGCTGATGAAGCGGGGTCGGACGGCTTTCCGTGACGGGTCGTCGTTCCACAGGGTCCTAGATTGTGTCTCGGGGTCGGACACTGACAAGATTAAGGGCCTGGTCTACAGGCACCCGGGGGATAAGTATAAGTGGTGGCACCGCGTCACTGACAAGATCCATGGCATTGACCTTCTCGTGTCGTTTCCAGCTCTCACCTGCGAGTTTTGCAGCAGCATGCATATGACTTGCTTTCATGATGAGTTTGTTAAGGAGAGGCAGAATAACATTGGCAACTGGGGTCTGTCGCTGCTGCACGCTCATGAGATTAACGGTAAAGGCCTACGCGCTTACCTTGATTTTCAGGTGGTTGCAGCAGCGGACCCCCAAGCTGACTTCTGTGTCGCCTCCCTCCCAAGCAACTGCTTCCCTGAAGCTGTCAGCGGCGACGAAAATCATCATGGCGGATCCGGCAATCTCCCTGACTTCGGTGGGAGGGGTCCGGGAGGAATGGATCTGTGTGCAAGAGGAGTGCGGGAAAGCTCACGGGAACAATTTCGAGCAGGCGGTGGAGCATGCTCAGTCGCAACGTCACTGCTCTGGTCTTCTCAAGGCGGGAGCTGCTACCCGGCAGAGCAGGGGGAAACAGAATCTGGCGGATGTCCGGAAGGAGTGTGGGAAGTAGGGTTGCTGCGAGGCATCATGGACCTGTGCTGGACAATGGGGGGGATCACTTTTTTCCGGAGTAAGGAGGAGTTAGACCCAGCTGGATGTGTCGTGTGTATCACCTCATGTAATAAAGCCCGTGGATGCGTGGGGCTCTCTGATGAGTGGATTAATGGGTAATACAACCAACCTTACCATCTGCGGGGTCAATGTGAACGGCCTCGGAAGTAACGGAAAGCGAAGCAAGCATCGGCAATGGCTGTGCAAGGCAGCAGACATAGTAGTTTTGTCAGACACACGGATCAAGGAGGATCATAATTTCTGGAGCGAGCTGAAACCAAAGGCATGGGCTGCGGCGAGCCCCAGTCAAGCGGCTGGGGGGGTGGCGATCCTCGCCTTTGCAAAGCATATAAGTTTCTCAGAGGTGTTGGCGGACTCATCTGGGAGACTGCTGGGGGTGACGGTGGAAGGGGGGGATGTAACTTTCAGGCTGATAGCGGCCTATCTCCCGGCGCAGGCGTGTAACAGGGCGAAGTTTCACACCGAGCATCTGGTCCCCTTCGCACAGGCGCAGCTGGCTACAGCGCACCTGGTGGTGGTGGGGGATTTGAACATCATCGCTGACCCGGACCTGGATAAATCGTCAGGAATTGGATCGGGGAAGGAGAATCAGAGGTTTATCAGCTCGTGGCCGTCTCATGATCTCCGTGATGCTTTCAGAGCGTTGCACCCCACGGAGAAGGAGTACACTTTTCGAGTAAGGGCGACGCAGGCGAAGTCCCGCATCGACAGGGCCCTGGTCTCGACGTCGCTGCTCGGAAACCTGTTGGAGGCGGGTCATGCGGAAGTCCCGAGGAAGCTGACGGACCACTGGTTTGCGATCCGGCTGACCCTGCGCATCGTCTCGTCGCAAGAGTATGGTCCGGGCCTTTGGAGGTTCCAGGCAACACGGAAGGATAAAAAAGGGGTGCGGAAAGTGATTGAGAAAGTGTCCAAGGCGCCGGACAAGGGAGGGGGTCACTTGCTGGAGCACGTAATCTCGCGACTCACGGCGGGCTTAAGAGCGCACGACAAGGAGGAACGCAAACGGGTGGTGATGACGCAACGGCATCTCTTGGAAGAAGTGGAAAGGCTGAGGCACCTGGTGATGGGAGGGCCAGCGGACGAAATGGTTCAGAGAGCGCTGCTAGCCAAAGAGGAGCAACTGGAGGCTTACCGTGAAAGCGACAGGGAGAGGCTGGAGGTTTTCGCGGGCCTCAAAGCTGAGCTACAAGGGGAGGTCCCGTCTCCTTACCTGTCGGCCAAGGTGAAGATGAGGAAGGAGCGGACAATCATCAGCGAGGTGAAGATGAGGAAGGGCACCGTTTCAAGGGCTCGAAGGAGGTGCTCAAGGCGGCGTTGGCACACTTCGCCGAGGCTTTCAGCGAGGCCGGGGATGCGGCGGAGCTGAGGAGACCTTTCACGGTGGACAGAATGTTGCCGGAGGAAGCAGCGAGGAGGTTGGCAGCCCCGTGGACGGAGCCGGAGGTGAAATCGGCGCTGGTGGGATTGCCAAGGGGCAAGTCGCCAGGGCAGGATGGTCTTCCGGCCGAGCTTTTTGTGTCGCACTGGGACCTGCTGGGGGGCGTTTTCATGGATTTCGTCCGTGAGTTTGAAAAGACAGGAACGTTGCCGGAGTCGGTTACGACGGCGGTTACGGTTTTGCTTCACAAAAAGGGAGAGACGGACCAGCTGACGAACTATCGTCCTATCACGCTACTAAACACGGTGTACAAGGTGCTGGCGAAAGTCATGGCGAACAGGTTCAAAAAAGAGCTTCACCAGATAATTTTGGCGGAGCAGCACGGCTTTATCCCAAGACGGAGCCTGGCGGACGCGGTGGTGGTTGTAGCGGATGCGATTGTGGCAGCGGATAATGGGGGTGAGGATTGGTACCTCCTGATGGTTGATTTCCAAAAGGCATATGACACGGTGTCGCGCCCGTACCTTTTCATACGGTGGGCGGAGGGGCTACACCGAGGGTCAGGAACGAAGATAGCAATTAACGGGTGGATTGGAGAAAAAGTAGACATGCGACGGGGGGTACGGCAAGGATGTGCACTGGCGCCTTACCTATTCCTCTGTGCGCTGGAGCCGCTCTGCTCGGAAATCAGGAAGAGAGGTCTGGGGGTAAAGGCGGAGGAAGGAGAAGAGGTGGCGTGCGTGGGCTACGCGGACGATACGTCGCTGATTCTTCGCGGAGCGGAGCAGCTTCACTCGGCGGCGGAAGCGCTTGAGTGGTTCGGCGAGGAGTCGGGCCTGCACACAAACCGCGAGAAGTCAGTAGTTATGCCGCTTGGGCGGAACAGGGGGAAGGTATCGCTTCCAGGGATCAATTTCAAGTGGGCAGCGGATGGAGTGCCGGAGCGCTTGCTGGGGGTCTGGGTCACGCCGAACGGGGAGGCGGCACCGTCCTGGGATAGGGCGTGGGAACGGGGGAAAAAGGAGTTAGTCAAGTGGGAAAATCAACATCTGCTCACAGCGGCGAGAGTCACGGTTATCAACAGCTATATCATGCCAATTTTCCTCTTTCAGGCACAGATATACCCGCCGCCGGAGGAGCTATGGGCCAAAATCAAGAAAACCTGCGACAACTATGTGTCCAAAGGCCAGGCCACGGCGGACAAACTGTTCGTTCTCTGGAGTGGCGAGCTGGCACGGCTGCCGAAGAAAGAGGGAGGCCTGGGGCTGGTCGACCCGAAGGCGCGGCTGGATAGTTTGGCGATCAGAACGGTGAGGAAGCTATTGACGGAGAGGAATGTCACGAGGAGGTGGCTTGTGGAGAAGGCGGCTTTGCTGCCACAAGGCGTGGGAACTCTGTACGCGCATAAGTCTGCGGGCAAACATTGGGAGAGGGGGAGTCAGAGGTGGAAGGCGGTGGTCGAGGTTTTCTGGGACTCGCCGTTCGCCGACCTTCCAGCGCCGACAAACGGGTGGGAGGTGGAGCAGGAGCTCCTGTGCTTCAACCGCCGCATCATGTTCCGAGGTAGCAGCCTGTACGGTAACTAGATGGGGACAGCAGCCATCTTAACAACCAAGATTGGAGATCTGCTGGAGACCAAAGAGGACGGAGGAAAGGGGATAAAGGATATTAAGGTGCTAAGGGAGGAGTTCGGAAGCGTGGCGGCAGCCAGATGGGCGACAAATGCATATGAGGCGGCACCAAAAGAGTGGAAAGCGTTGCTGGCGGCGCCAAGAACGGCGGCGACGGTGGTGGCGGCTACAAAGGTGGTGCGCACGGTTTTTCAGCGCACACAGGAGAACATGTACTGGACGGTGCGGGGGGTCAGCAGTGACGGCAGGGTGGAAACGGACGATTTGAGGTGTACGGACGATACAAACCTGCTAGCCCCACCGAGGCCCATCGCGGTGAAGTTCCCGGTTAAGGACGTGTTGCCAGTGGCGGTCAGGGGCAAAACGGTCCTGGGGGTGATGGGAGCTCCGCGGGCGAAGCTATGCCTGACGCAACTGGTAGATGAGGACATGAGGCCCGCGGCGCCCCGGGTGATACGCAGGCTACTTACGGGCCTGGTGACGGTGTCTAGAAGAAGAGGCGAATGGGAGGAAGACTGGGGGAGGAAAATAGACTGGAAAGCGTAAAGGGCAAGAGATGTTGTGATCAGGATGCACAGGAAGAACCTCCAGGTCGGGGGGAGGCTGAAGTTCCTGGGCCCGAGGGTGGTTTGTCCACACTGCGGAGCTCCTGAAACCCTAGACCACTGCATGCTGCTCTGCCTGGCGATTCAGCCGGTCATCGGCGCGCTGCTCAGCTCGCTTCAGATGACGGATCCAGGTGTGCAAATGCAGTCGCTGGGAGACATGCTGTTCCAGGAAGGAGCCACGAGGTCAGGTTTTCCAGGGGCAACGTTGACAGTGGTGACAATGCGGCGCATTTGGTTGGCCAGGGTGGATGCGGTGTACAGGAACGAAAGATTCCAAAGGAAGAAAGTGGCGAGGGCGGCGATCTGCGATTTTATGAGGCATGCGCGGATTTACAGGGCAGAAAAATCCAAAAGCGTCGACCGGAGTGAGGTGGCAATGGTACCACGAGACCCATGGCGGGGGTTGGCAACAGACGAGAGAGCGGCGGTAAACAGGGTATGCAACACAGGTGAACAGGCCACATGGAAAGATGGCTTTCTATCCATTTGGCAGAATCCTAGGACCTTTCATCGCCCCCCGTAGGAACAGGGAGGAGAAGGGCAACGCGGTTTTAAAAGCCGTGGGGTCGGTCCTCTCCTGAATACAGTTACGACTGGGAATGTATTTGCATTTGTTATAGTGCAGAAGCGTTCAATCAAGAAAAAAAAAAAAAATCATTAACGCACTACCAGCAGCTCCCAGTCCATGCACAGCGCCCCTCCCTCACTGCCCAAATGGGACGACCATCACTACACTCCCTCTCCCTCTCAGTTCCATTCCCCCATTCCCAACCGAGCCCTGCATCACTCCCATCCCTCCTCCACCATTCTTGTTGGCGACAGCACAGACGAGGGGATGGCGAATCGCGTGGCACAGGATGCTCATCGCGACGACATCTGGACGCACGTGACAGCGAGGATCTCTGCGTACGAGTTGGGGATGGCTGCGAGCATGTGCTGTGTGGTGGAGTGCGGTACCGTGGGGTCGATGTCAAATTGCATTTGTTATCTCTAGGCTGTAGTGGGGCATACTCTAAGGAGTACAACACTTTAGGTCATTCCTAGTACTTGTCCTCTTTCTTCCTTACTAGTCAATCGTTCCTACGTTCTACTTCTGACATGGTATTCAGAGCGGGTCCATCCTCCGTAGGACCGCTCCGTTAGGGCCCACCACTTGTTAAGACCTACCCGAACTGCCCGAACTGCCCGTACTGCCCTGCCCGAACTGCCTGTACTGCCCTGCCCTGCTTGCGCTGCCCCTCGCGCTCTGCCCTGCCCGTCGCGCTGCCCGCTTGCTGCCTAGCGCGTGACCCGCACGCTGCCCTGCTCGCGCCCTGCA